TGCTGTTGCTGCTACTACTACTTCTACTATTACGTATTAGTACTGTTATTATCGGAAGTAAATGGGGTAGCGAGTGTAGCCCGCTCGTAATTTGTGCCAGTACTAGTAATAGCAATACCAATGCCAACGACAGACAGCAACAACGACGATGACCAAGAGGACGACCAGCAGCAGCACAGCGCTGCAGCATGGCGACGACAACGACAATCCATGATAAGAGCCAGCAGCTGCCACCCCTAACCAGCACCATCACCCCTACAGCCGGTTCGGCGTTTCTGTCTTGATCTGGCCTGAGAGAGCCTCAAGTAACCGAGGCAAGGACGGTGTTGACATGTCCGCGGCCCCCCGTCTCAAAGCCTTTGCCAAGTGTTGAACGGGACGCGTGGGAAACACAGCAAAAGCCGAAGGGACGCAACGTCGGACAGCAAAACTGCCAGCATCGCGAAGCCGCCAAGGCCGTACACTGCGTGCAAGTTCTAGCTGTCAGTAGCTACCGTGCTCCGATTGCACTTGCTTGTCGTCAACGTGCGCAACACGCTCTAAAACAGTTGAGCGGGAGCATGAAAAGTCCAGCAAACAGTTCTGCATTGTAACTCGGATGTTTCTAAAGATGATGACTATTGCTTGCCTCAGGTTGGTTCAGACGCAGCTGGTGTGCTGAAGCAGATGGAGCTCAAGCCCCAGATCGGCTTGGGAACATGAGCTTCTACCTGCTCTAGCGCCTGTGTGCTTCAAAGCTTTGATGAGGTTCGTGCAGGAGAGGCAGAAGCCGCTAGACATTCCTCTATTGGCTTTACCAGGCCGATTGCACGCGACAGCAAACCAGGACAGGGAAATACACATCATGCACGTGCAGGTGTCAACAATGAGGACATGAGGATCCACAGATCCCAGCCTGCTCCTGAGGAATGCTGTTTCGTTTATTGACTTTGCAAGGTGCACATGATTGGGTGGGGTGGGGTGAGATGGTAACCTGGGCGTGTATCCCATCGCAAAGCGTTCGGGAACAGAGGCAAACACAGGTGTCTCCTTTTGCTGCAGGCGCACAGCCGTAGATCAGTACTCTGCTAGAACCTTGAGCAGCAGGCATAGATACATGAAAGTGATAGGTGAAACAGACAGGCACCTGGATTGTAACATGTTGCATTTCAACCAGGCACACATTCAAAAACACGTAGAGCCGCATGGCCGCGAAGTCGGCTTTCTACATTGCCTGTCATTGCCCAAGCGAATTACGAGCGGAGTGACATTGAGCTATAAAAGATATAAAAGTGACTTGCGAGAATCTATACATCTCTAATAAAGAGCAGAACACGCACACGAAAAGCAAATGGATCTTCGGTCAAAACTCTCTTTTAATAGATTGCCCACATGTTCAGTTTCCTCTCCAAGACAGGCAAGCATACTGCACAAAAAGTCGAGCTTGGCTACGAGAACGTGGGCGTGGGCGTGTACGTGTGTGTGTGTGTGCGTGTGTGTGTGTGTGTGCGTGTGTCTGCGTGTCTGTGCGTGTGTCTGCGTGTCTGTGTGTCTGTCTGTGTGTCTGTCTGTCTGTCTGTCTGTTTGTCTGTCGGTCTGTCTATTTGTGTTTGTCTGCCTGTGTGTGTTTGTCTGTGTGTGTGTGTCTGTCTGTGCGTGTCGGGGTGTGTGTGTGTGTGTGCGTGTGGGGAACCCAAACTTACGGCAGGGGGTCCCAGGTCTGTTACTCATGCTGGGACCAACGAAGACCATGAGTAGCAGACGTGTAAACGTACCTGCTAAGAGGAGTACCTGGGTGGCTGAGTCCGCAGCTGATATCCTCATGGTATCCTCAACTGGGGCAGAACCCATGTCCCTGTAATGTGTTACATGTTGCTGTCAGCATTGCGCTTCGCAGACAGCAACATATGCCACTAACTAAGTAAGTACGTACGTACGTAAGTAAGCAAGCAAGCAAGCAAGCAAGTAAGTAAGTAAGTAAGTAAGTAAGAGCAAGTACCTACGTAAGTAAGTAAGTGAGTATGTATGTATGTATGTATGTATGTATGTATATACGTATGTATGCATGTATGTACGTACGTACCCAGGTAAGTTTGCATGCATGTATGTCTAGGTTCATACATGTGTATGAGTATATTTAGAAACACATACAGATATTATGGGTAATTATCTATGTATGATACATGTGCACGTGCATTTATGTCGGCATGTGGTTGGATGCTTGTGCAGGAGGGTGTGGATGAGAGTAGTGCTGGTGGCACACGGCTTTCCGTGTGGGAGCGTGCGCATGCGTGTGTGTGTGTGTGTGTGGGCGGGCCTGCATGTCGGGCGTCTCGGGCTTGTTTTCCTTCTATTGGCCGGTGTCTGAAGTTGTGTCCGCTGTGGCTTGGGTGCATTTGTCTTTTGCCAATGAGGAGCCAGACAATCCTTCCGAAAGCACATCCTGCCCTTCGCAAATCCAAGCGAAATCTGGCCATGCGTCCCTGATGCACGAATCAAGTCGCCTGGACGAGATGTTGTTGAGCACCTGACATGGACAAGAAAGACATTGAGGTACTGCGACGATCTTACCCTCATGCTGCTCAAACAGCGTCATCGGCTTATCGGACAGGGGGAGCACACCATCTGGACTAGCAGACTAACAGAAGCTTTCCCTGTGTGACCTTTCCCAACGTCTTTTGGCAACTTAATTCCTCATTGTTTCTCTCGGGTACGCCGGGTTGGCTTGCCGGCATTAGCATCCACATATGAGCTCACGCATGCAGGTCGTCCTGGACGCAAGCCGACCAAGCTTTACAAACCAAGTGCCGTGCAATTGCCGCCTGTGTCGGATCCTCTTGAAGGCTGCACGGGAACATGATGGTGTGTCAGCAAAAATCTAGGCTGCATCCAATTCCAACTGTTCCAATAGCTGAGGCACAACAAGGAGGCATGGTTTGATGCCTGTTGCAAAGTTTTCTGTGCTGTTCGAGAGACAGACTCACTCACCTAGCCGGGATTAATTGCTGATGCGATTCTAGGTTCTAGATGCTGGCGTAGCCCCTCGATGCTGAGCAATGTTTGGGAAGAGACGTTTGCCAGGCGCCGCGGATGTCTCAGAGCACAGAGCTTGTCGAGGAAACCTCCAGCTCATGCTCCTATTCGACTTGCATTGTTTCAGCAGCATGAGAACGAGCACTGTTCGAGTCTTTCACCTGTCTCCTTAAACAAAAGCAAGCTGCAGGAGAGAATCGTACATGCGCACTTTCACTACCACTACCACCTTCCTGGTCTTCAGGCGGCTTGAAGAACCTGTAGTCGCAAGTATGCAAAAAAACCTCTGTGATGGAAGGCCGGGCACATGAAGCAGATGAAATGAAGAGGTTATGTGCAGAGCAGATATGAAAGCCAGACCAGGCTGGACAGGTATTTGTTTGGCAAAAACACGCGAAATCGGGACACCCCATCTCTGCAATCCCTCAAAGGGACTTGTGAGCAGGGATCTTGAACGTATGTGAGGCCAGGCTGGCGCTTTTCCCAGTCCTGGCTGATATGTCACAGAGGATCTACCCCACATGCGAGGGCCGCTTTTCCACTGCATCAGAAACCTGAGTAGCAGTCCTCGGCACCGCCGCAACTAACAATGCAGGGTCTTTGCAGCCAAGGCTGCAAGTCCTGCTCTCTTTCAGAGGGGATGAAAAGGATGGCCTGGCTTCCTGCGTGTGACGAACAGCGCTGGATTGCCCAGAGCGCAGTATGATGCGCAGGTCTCGCATCGAGCACCGCGGTCCTGCACACAACTCTCTGCACCCGTCACCACAATTGCCAGTGACACGGCATGCAGAGTACCCACCGTAGCCGAATAACATATGGACGACTTGTATAGCAGATCTCGGAGATCTCTGAGGTGATTTTGGACAGACATCTGCAAAGTTGGCAACCGTTAGATGAAGAGGAGTTGAGTCGCTTCGATGCCCACGTCAGTACCTGAGCTTACCAGCATTGCCGGCTTCGGAAACGAAGGCTTCGCCTCTCAGGTCAGGATTGATGTAAGCGTGCCGGCTGTGGACAAAGCCATGCAGGCCAGTGCAGACGATGTCGGATAGTGCCGAAAACAGAGCTTCATGAGTGCTGGTGCCGTAGGTTATCACGGCACTGCGTCGGCTTGGTTGGTGTCCACGGCTGCGATCGCTTGCTAGCGCGAGCCCAGCATCCGATGAGGCCGAAACCCCTGACTGACATATGGCAAACTCGGACTACCATCCATGATTCAGGTTGGGTTCAAGGACAAAACTCATGGTTGTTGGCTAGTGTCGGGAACGACGCTAATTAGCATCCTGCCATGCTCAGCTAAGGCCTACTGACTACTGCCGGCAGTGTCGAAAGTAGCAACAAGCACGACCTATACCTCACATTATATCCCTTGCTTGACTGCATGATTCGCCAGTGGGTGGCTTTTCCGCGACTCGGCCAACCAACTTACTATTGGCAAGCCTGGCACGTGCAAAGCATTGCAAACCATGAGCTGTGTCTCAGAGCGACCGAAGCAGAGCGCCAGGAATCGTCGAACCGGCAAGCTGATGCCTCGGGCATGCCTCTTCACTGCAGCATGCCCCTGAGAGAGAGAGCAGTCGAGGTCCGCATGGCAAGTTCCTGAGGCCGCGTAAAAAAAACGCCCGTCATAGTGCTCCCTCTTGCGCATGCTTCGGGAAGGCCGTGGAGCCGGCTTGGACTGGATATCGGGATGGAGACCATGCCTTCTTCAGGCTGCCTTTGTGCACGGTGTTGCACTTGTGAGTCAGAACATGGAAACTGGCATCCACAGGCATTGGCTTGAGACTTTGTCAGAGCCCATCGCATACCAGCATCATTTCAGCATTCTGAAACTGCCTCCTACTCTGCAGCTCATAGGACACATCTGGAAAGGTCCAGGCCTGTTCTCAAAGTTAGAACAGTCCCACGTAGCCTGCAATGTGGCTGCACCGCTTCGCTTCGTCTCGATGTGCTCGAGGCAGCAGATATGTCGTCTAGCTCTGCCGTGCTTTTCAGAGCAGCTCACTGCTTTCTAAGTGATCATGAGCACGGGAGCAAACTGACAGGTCACGCCTGGACGGGATGCAGAATCTACAACCACAAAATGCACCCTCCGCAAGGAATGAAGCGCCTGGTACTGGCAAGGTTCAGTGCTAGTCCAAGTCAGCCCGCAAGTGACGACGCTCGTGGGCAAACAGCTGCAACCGCCGTTTTCGGCCAATGTCAGCTCGCTTTGTCCGTCAAGCGGTATTGGTGATTTCGCATGACATAAGGACAAAGACAAAGAGAGAACTACCGCATCGCTGCCTCAGCTCTGGCAGATTCTTCGCCCTGAGCGGGGACGGCTACAGCGACCTTGATCAATCATAGAGGCGTAGATACTTAGCAGCCCGAGACCTACAAAGCCAAAAGGGCCACGACGAGAGGCGGAAGCGCACGGAACTGTGGTGAAAGCACGATGGGGGAAGGCGGGCTAAGTTTTGAGGCCCTAAGGCGGCAACATGAATCGAGCCTGAACTAGGCGCTGCACTGGGGCGGGAAGACGATCGAGTCGTGCCGCAAAAAATGAATGCCACTTCCACGACTTGAGACAAGTTCCGATTTGAAGGAAACGAATTTCAGTCCAAAACACCTCGGAGTTCTGTGTCTCGCCAACAGAAAGGGTGTTTTGAATTCGGCGTCCGTCACGAGGCCAGCACGGAACTTCGGCAAGAGTGTGTTGTTTTGGTCGAAACGGTGAGCACCCCTGGGTGAAATGAGCAAAATGGAGTGATCAGACGTGTGCTCGATGTGCCTGTGCTTCCTTCAGCTCTCAGGTTGGCGCTTGCAGCGCTGTGCGCCTCCTCTTCCGTCAACTTGTCTCAGCCTCGGTGTGCCGGAAAGCTTTTTGTCCACTGCCTTCGTTAGAAGGCTCGCCTAGGTCGTACCCCTACATGGTGGGCAAGCTGGTAGACCTGTTTGGGGAAGGTGCGGACGGTCTTCAGTTTGTTATGGATCACACTTGGCTCTGTGGCGGAGTCATGGTGGCAGGCGGTTTTGCAACATTTTGTAGGCTGTACCTGATTGAGACGGCCATTGAAAGAATAGCATTTCGGCTGCGGCGTGAATTCTTTTGGGCACTGATTCAACGGCCGATCGCCTTCTTTGACGGCAACAAGACCGGTGAGCTCGTAAACCGTTTGGGCAACGACATTACCATGACCAGCCGCGTCCTCATCGACGCCTCCGCTGGTATCCGATCCCTCATCACCGCGTGTGTGGGCACCTGAGCCTCGGACAGAAATCCACAGAGACGGACTCCGACTCTGAGTGTTCTTGTATGTTCTCCTCCTGCTCAGTCCCCTAGCAGTTGTCGTAGCAGTTTGCTCAGCGAGACAAGGCATGGTCTTCCAGCTGGCACCCACAGAGATGATTATGGGTCTCCTTACTCCGGTCGCTGCCTTGTTCGTCGTTGGATTTGGATATGGACGTGTTGTCCGCCGTATTGCCGAGAAGCGTCAGCAGAGATTGGCAGAAGCAGTTCAGCGTGCGGAGGAAAGATTGGGTGGAATTCGGACAGTGAGGACTTTCAACGCTGAGAGACGAGAGCTGGCTGGCTTTGAAAGACTGCTTGATTCTGTCTATGAAGCAGGCTGGCAGAACGCTTTGGCAATGGCAGGCTTGTCCTGCTTCTTCGTCACAGGAGGCGGCTTGTTCCTGATACACATAATCTACAACTGCGGATTGATGGTGACGAGCGGGGTTGTCAGTATCGGGACCACCGTGAGCCTTGCCATGTACTGCTTCATGGCCGGCTCCGCGTACACCGGGATCATGACCTCATACGGAGATATACAGAAATGCCTTGGGTCTTGTCAGAAGGTTTTGGAGATCTTGTCTGAGTCTGAGAGCTCGGTGCAGCCAATGCTGACAGACAGAATAGTTTCTGCTGTCTCCGCTTCGCACCCACCCTTGGCTGTGAAGTTTGAAAATGTGAGTTTCGCTTATCCGACTAGGCCAACTCCGGTTCTTCAAGACTTGAGCTTGGACATTCCCGCTGGCGCACGTGTGGCGTTGCTTGGGCGAAGTGGCTCCGGAAAGTCTACAGTCGCTTTGCTTCTGGCAGGCCTCTATCCCCCCACGCAAGGGAAAATCTTCGTAGACGACCGTGATATGTATGCTGACGACGGTACAGCTTCCTGGGTGCGATCACAGCTTGGGGTAATTAGCCAAGAGCCAACGCTTTTTGCCCTGACCATCCGCGAAAACGTTGAATATGGCGTGGACGGGGGGAACGAGACCGAAGAGACCTCAGAGCATTCGAGGCCGGGGTGGGCATTGGTGTCGACACGGAGGGCCGCTTTGAGGAAAGACATGTCTCCTAATTATCGGCTAGGT